TCTTATGGAGGATTTTCTGGCTTGAAATCTTTATAGCCAACTGTCTCAATTACATCACTGGCATGCGGTGGATCCAAAGGAAGTACTTTGGCTTATTCACACTCTCCCAAAGCACCTGGATTTGTTTAGATGCCAAATTGGTCAAAGGAAGTCCAAAGAGCAAAGGTTTTACAGTCTTTTTGTCCTTCTTTGATGATGACATCTGCCTGTCATCACTAAGAACATCTTGCTCTTTAAGATGGCTTTCTATCTTCCTTTTCTTCTATTCATGTGAAGTCAATCAGAGAACCAGCTAATCTTGGGGTCACTGAGTTTGAGACTGTGGCCAGGCATTGCTATTTCCGCGATGGAGAAGCATGTACCAATCCTCATTCAATGGGTGGGATGGAATGTGGGTGGAAATGGTCTGTACATTGTATCCAGAGGGAGAAAATAATGGGTTGATAACAATTTCTTCTTGTGTCTTCTACTGGACCACCAATATTCACTTTTTTAACTTGACAGGAATCTCAAATCACCAGCTGCCTCTTAGACATCTCCAACTGGATGTCCTATAGATATCTAAACTCAATATATACAAAAAAGAACCCTCCCTTCTTCTGAACTTTACTATTACTGTCAAAGGTACCACCATCCTCTGAGTCACTCAGGCTTGCAATCTAGATGTCATCTTTGACTCCTCATTTTCACTCACTTCAAATTTCCAATCTGTTCTTTTGTCATTTCTATGTTCAGAATATCTCTTATTTAACTCCCTTTCTTTTCACTTACGTAGTCACCACCTTCCCCTTCCTCTATTTCAGTAGCCTTCTAGTTCTTCTCCCCCTATTCCAGTCCCTCCTCCACTCAGCTATAAAAGTAATTTTCTTAAAGTGCAGGTCTGACCATGTCACCACTCCATAAACAATAAATTCAAATTGCTCTCTATTACCTTCAAGATCAAATATAAATTTACCCCCAAGATAAAATATAAACTCCGTTAGCATCTAAAGACCTTCAAAACCTGGACCTCCTTCACATTCTTTTAATACTGAATTCAGGTGCTACCTTTTCCAAGAGGCCTTCAATGATTCCCTTAGCTAAAAATGATCTTTTCCTCTTCAAATTTTAATCAATTTGTCTGCATGGCACCTTAATACATCATATCTTTGAACACACTTAACTAGACACAACATCTTTCCTTTAGATTTTTAATTCTTCTGAGGGCAGTGACTATTATTTTGTGCCTATATTTATACACTGAATAATACAGTGTCTTGAACTTGATAGATGTTTAATAAGTGTTTATTGAATTAGATTCTTGTAATGAATCTTCTCTGCACTGTTATTGGGTATTGAGCCAACTTTTTCATATAAATTTTTTTAAATTTTTAAAAAAATTTTATGAATTTATTTTAATTTATCAACAATCACTTCCATATGCTTTTGAGTTTTAAATTTTTCTTCCCCTTCCCCCCACCACCCTCCCCAAGAAGGTGCACAATCTGATATAGGCTATACATATATATTCCTATTAAACATATTTTCACATTAGCGATGTTGTAAGTAAAAATTAGAACCAGTAGGAGGAACCACCAGAAAGAGGAAACAAAACTCAACAGAAAAGAAAAAAAATAGCAATTTAAATTCCCTAGCTCTTTCTTTGGATATGGATAGCATTTTCCATCATGAGGCCTTTGGAGATGTCTTAGATCTTTGTATTGCTGGGAAGGGTTAAGTTTATCAATATTAGTCATTGCACAACGTGCGATTTATTAATTTACAAAATGATTTATCAATTGGGGAATGACTTGTATTCTTATAGATTTGACTTTATTTTCTATATATTTTAGAAATGAGGCCCTTATCAGAGAGACTGGTTGTAAAAATTCTTTCCCAATTTTCTACCTTCCTTCTAATCTTAGTTGCATTGGCTTTGTTTGTGCAAAACCTTTTCAATTTAATGTTATCAAAATTATCTATTTTGCTCCTGTTTGTCATAAATTCTTCTGTTCTCCATAGATCTGATAGGTAAACTATTCTTTGCCCTCCCAGTTTGCTTATAGTATCAGCCTTTATATCTAAACCATGAACCCATTTTGACTGTATCTTGGTATATGGTGTGAGATTTTGGTCTATGCCTAGTTTCTGCCATACTCTTTTCCAGTTTTCCCAGCAGTTTTTTTTCACAGCGGATAGAGCACCGGCCCTGGAGTCAGGAGGTTCTGAGTTCAAATCCGACCTCAGACACTTGACACTTACTAGCTGTGTGACCTTGGGCAAGTCACTTAACCCCATTGCCTCCAAAAAAAAAAACCAAACCAAAACAAAAAAAAAGCAAAAAAAAACCCCAAAACAAAGAGTGGGTTCTTATCCCAGAAGCGGGGGTCTTTGGGTTTATCAAATAATAGATTACTATAGTCATTGACTACTGTGTCTTACAAATTTAACCTATTCCACTGATCCACCACTCTATTTCTTAGCCATTACCAAGCAGTTTTGATAATTGCTGCTTTATAATACAATTTAAGATCTGGAATGGCTAAGCCACCTTCCCCTGCATTTATTTCATTAGTTCCCTTGATATTCTGAACCTTTTGTTCTTCCAAATGAATCTTTTTATTATTTTTTCTAACTCTATAAAATAATTTTTTGGTAGTTTGATTGGTATGGCACTGAATAAGTAAATTGGCTCAGGTGGAATTGTCATTTTTATTATATTAGCTCGGCCTACCCATGAGAAATTGATGTTTTTCCAATTATTTAGATCTGGCTTTATTTGTGTGAAAAGTGTTTTGTAATTGTGTTCATAGAGTTCCTGGGTTTGTTTTGGCAGGTAGTATCCTAAATATTTTATAATGTCTACAGTAACTTTAAATGGAATTTCTCTTTCTATTTCTTGCTGTTGAGCTTTGTTGGTAATATATAGAAATGCTGATGATTTATTTGGGTTTATTTTATAGCCTGCAACCTTGCTAAAGTTGTTTATTATTTAAAGTAGTTTTTTACTTGATTCCCTAGGAACCTCTAAGTATATCATCATGTCATCTGCAAAGAGTGATAGCTTTGTTTCTTCTTTGCCTATTCTAATACCTTCAATATCTTTTTCTTCTCTTATTGCTAAGGCTAACATTTCCAGTATGATATTGAACAACAATGGTGGTGATGGACATCCTTATTTCACCCCAGATCTTATTGGAAATACTTCTAACTTGTCCCCATTACATATAATGCTTGTTGAAGGTTTTAGGTAGATGCTATTTATTATTTTAAGGAAGACTCCATTTATACCTATGCTCTCTAGTATTTTTAATAGGAATGGGTGTTGTATTTTGTCAAAAGCTTTTTCTGCATCTATTGAGATGATCATGTGATTTCTGTTAGTTTTGGTGTTGATATGATCAATTATGCTGATAGTTTTCCTAATATTGAACCAGCCTTGCATTCCTGGTATAAATCCTACCTGGTCATAGTTTATTATTCTTGTGATAAGTTGCTATAATCTATTTGCTAATATTTTGTTTAAAATTTTTGCATCTATATTCATTAGAGAAATTGGTCTATAATTTTCTTTCTCTGTTTTGACTCTTCCTGGTTTAGGTATCAGCACCACATTTGTATCATAAAAAGAATTTGGTAAGACTCCTTCTTTACCTATTTTCCCAAATAGTCTAAATAGTATTGGAATTAATTGTTCTTTAAATGTTTGGTAGAATTCACATGTAAATCCATCTGGCCCTGGAGATTTTTTCCTAGGGAGTTCATCAATTACTTGTTCAATTTCTTTTTATGAGATGGGATTATTTAAGTATTTTACTTCCTCTTCTGTTAATCTGGGCAATTTATATTTTTGTAAATATGTATCCATTTCATTCAGATTGTCAAATTTGTTGGCATAGAGTTGGGCAAAATAGTTCCTAATTATTGTTTTAATTTCCTCTTCCTTGGTGGTAGCTTCACCCTTTTCATTCTTGATACTAGTAATTTGGTTTTCTTCTTTCTTTTTTTAAATTAAATTAACCAAAGGTTTATCTATTTTGTTGTTTTTTTTTTTCATGAAACCAGCTCTTAGTTTTATTTATTAGTTCAATAGTTTTCTTGATTTCACTTTTGTTAATTTTTCCTTTGGTTTTCAATATTTCTAATTTGGTGTTTAATTGAGGATTTTTAATTTCTTCTTTTTCTAGTTTTTTTAGTTGTATGCCCAATTCATTGATCTCCTCTTTTTCTATTTTATTTATGTAAGCATTTAGAGGTATAAAACTTCCCCTAAGAACTGTTTTTGCTGCATCCCATAAGTTTTGTTATGTTGTCTCATTATTGTCATTCTCTTGAATGAAATTATTGATTGTTTCTATGATTTGTTGCTTGACCCAATCATTTTTTAGGATTAGATTACTTAGTTTCCAATTATGTTTTAGTCTATCTTTCCACGGCCCTTTATTACATATAATTTTTAATGCATCATGATCTGAAAAGGATGCATTTAATATTTCTGCCTTTCTACATCGGATTGTGAGATTTTTATACCCTAGTACATGGCCAATTTTTGTGTATGTGCCATGTACCACAGAGAAAAAAGTACTGCCAACCATACAAATTTCTTAATAAAATAGTTTTTATTAAAAATAGAGTTCTTTAAAAGAATGCATTTTATAGGGGAAATATAGTGATGAACAGTAGGGTCAGTATAAAATATTACAAAAACAATCCTATTCCCCATCTGAACAATAAATATTAACAATATTATTAGAATAAATAATAGCAATAAATAAATAAATAAACAAATAAAAATAAATGAAAAGTAAATTATAAAATATTCAGCCGCTGAGCTCGGGTGAAGCTTCTTTGTATTCAAACTCCCTTCTACACATTAAAGGTAGCTTATATTGTTTTTCAAATAATTCAGCAAATATAGATTTTTTTTCAATAGTTGTGGCGAAAAACATTTCTAAGATTGAATGCTTATTTTTAAGGAAGCAGCCAATTATTTGAGGAACTGAGAGTCTATGTCTTCTTCCTTAGTCCTTGAATTTTTTTGAAAGTTTGCCAATGAACAGAAAGCATCTCCTGATTTCCACTCGGGTGACCTCCCAGGCACAGTGACTGTACTCTTTGCCTTCCAGGTACTGGTTTATTCCTTGGAAGTAGTTCTTCAGGGCCAGCTTGGAGTTTTCACTTCCCAGGGAAGGCTCTTCCCACTTCACATCCTGTGCAAGACACCTCTCCAGCTGTTCCAGCTGCTGATCCAGTCCAATGAGCAGTTGCATGAGCTGGGTCTGATTCCAAGTGGCAGGTGCAGCATTCTGGCTGAAGAGGGTGAAGATCTGCTGGAGCATCTCATGAACAATGACTTTGGCATCTTCCCTCTGGAGCTGGTTGCCTTCCATGGCTTCCTTTGGGAAGTTGAAGTTGGTCCTGTCCTTCAGGCACGGCACCAGGGAAAATGTGCTCATTTGGTTCAGAAGTGAGAAGTCTTCCTGGAGGCCCTGAGACAGGTCACATCCCAAGGAGCAGAGGGTGCTGGAGCAGAGCAGCACCAGGGCAACTGGCAACAAGCTCCAGAAAGTCATGGTGATGTCAAAGATAGTTTGAGGCTGGCTGAGCTGGGAGACCAATGAGCCTTTGTCTCAGCTTCTCAGGTTATCTGGCCTCCAGGCAACTCTTTCTTAAATAGTGCTGAGTGTAATTTTCATTTTTTAGCAAGGGAAGTCCCTTCACTTTCTACTTTCTTTTACTTACTTTCCAAATTGGTCTTAGAAGATGTCATTAAAATTCCTTTGTAATATATTAAAACTGAAACCAAATTTATTCTTAAAGAGAGTTTACAGATAAAGTTCTTTGGGGTTGAGCTATGTTGATTTATTTATTGATTTTTCTTCTTATGCTCTTGTACTTAATATATAATCAGGTGTTAAATGCTGTCAAATTTACCCTTGAAGTGATTCTTACCTCTCTCGGTTCCCTATTATCACCCAATATCTGAATTTAGGTATTTATCAACTGTTGTTCTCAATGACACCCTTCTTTTCACTTGGTTCCCTGACCACCTACTCACTAGTTCTTTTGCTACTCAGACCAGAAATTATTTCCTGGAGAACTTAATCCTTTCATCTCCAGAATTCTCAATGGGACTTAGCAATACTTATTTGTGGTTGCCACACGTCATCCACTCCATCAGGACTATATCCAGTAGTATTTAACCTCACTGCTCTTCCATCTTCTCATCAGCCATGTATATAACCTTTTCCCCTTCCATTTTTCCAAATCTGCATCCATAATAAAATCAACTCTGTCCTTGCTCTTGGAGAGGGTGTGGCAATGTATTCTCCTTGCCATCCCTGTAACTTTCCAAATCAAAATACCCTTCTCTGGCCACCACTTTACCAGATGTATTCTGTTCACCTATTAGAATATTAAATCCTAAATTAGGGTCAGAGGACCAACAGGAGGGTGGACCAGAACCTTTGCCCAGATGCAATGAATTCTTTAAAAGAGGAATTATATAGTAAATGTAGAGCAATTATAGCTGAATTCACAAAATGAAAAAAGGGAGTACAGTGACAAGGTTAAATCCTTTGAAGAACACCACAGAAAGCAAATCCTTCAAGTACTTAATCAAGTACACTGTCACCCTCTATGCTCCTGGTAGCAATGTTCAAACTTAATGGGGTCCTGTGCCTGTGGACCATATTTGAATTCCTGACTGATGCAGTAATTGAAGAGTATTCCCGTTGAGAACGAAATTATCCTTGCAATGGAAAATGGTGACCTCATGATAGGTTTCTTCTGGGTATGTTGGTGCAATAGTAGACTACTTTCCTAAGAGAATGCTTTACCTCCCTGGACAACAGCCTGGTTGAGGAGGAGAAGGGATATATTTGTGTGTGTGTGTGTGTGTGTGAGTGTGTGTGTGTGTGTGTGTGTGTGTGTGTAGGAACATTTATATATTATCATATAGCCAATTAGAAGGTGTAAAATCATGGAGAGGACATGTGGCATAAAGGGACCCATGATCTGGACAAAGGATGATTTCCACCATATGACACTGCTTCTCTCCATGTTCATTCTCTCACAAAATGATAATTCTCTTTACAGAGAGTTAAGTACAACAGAAAAAAGAGGATGGTGAGACAACATGTGTGAAGGCAAATAAAACAGAAATCTTCAGAAGAGGTCACTCAAATATAGTACATCAGTAACTTCAACCCTATGAAATATACAAAGACATTAGGGAAGGAATAAATAAGCATAGAGAACATGAATGCATTACTACAATTTCAAAATGGAAATGAAGAAAATTAATGAAGAGAAAAAATGGGGAAAAACTTCTCAAGAAGATATAAAAAAGAAAAACAAAGAAAATATGCAAATTAAAAAATTGGAGGGAGAGATATTAAAATCATCATGTAACTGTGAGCAAGGAACAAGATGGAAAGAAGGGCACAAATAAGTAAATAAATAAATAAACAAAAACAAATAAAAAATAAAATCAATAATTAAAAAAAAACAAACTAGTCAAAGAGCTGATAAATAGCAAGAGCTAGGGGTAGAAACTGGAAGATAATCTGTAGGATTAGGGTTGCACCAAAGTAGTTTAAGTAAAACTAAGCATAGAGAAAAAGAATTGATGTAAAAGGAAAAATATTTTTTAAATATTAAAAAGAATATTGTTTTTAAAGACAATGCTAAGGCACAAATGGAGGAAGACACAAACCTAAGTCGTATAACTTTAAATGGACTAAACAATCCAATAAAATGAGAGAATGACAGAGTGACTAAGGAAACAACATTTTTCACCAAATGAAGTTTTTAAATGATGAAATCTCAATACAAAAAAAGTACAAATGGATGTAATTAAACTATCAAAGAAAACCCCAGTCTTGATAGAGTTAAAGGATAACTCTTTCAATGAATTAGAAGAATATATATACTGTGCTAATTCTCAAAAATTGAGAAAGAAAAGGTCTTTTTTTCAGGCAAATATATTTCTAATGCTTGTATTAGGGAAAGATAATTCAAAGAAGGAAAACTATAGATTGGTATAACTAAAATATCATCACATATTTTAAATAAAATCTTGTCAAAAAGACTGTAGTAATTTATCCAAAAATCATTCATTGTTATCAAGTTGTATTAAAACCTGGCATACAAGGATACTCCATCATTAGAAAAATTAGGCTAATTTTATATATATATATATATGTATATATATAAAATTACCTTAATTATATAAAAACAAAAGCAAGAGATTAGTAACTGTAGAAAAAACCTTTAATAAAGCAATATTCATTTTGCTAAAACATAAAACTAGGTGGCATAGATAGATTTGTATATGGTAAATAATATTTATTGAGAATTAAAAGGCATATCTATATATGCCTATGTACTCTAGCTATATATACACATATATACATATATATATATATAATACATACATGTATTTATTTATACATACATACATACATATATATATATATAGAGAGAGAGAGAGAGAGAGAGATGTAGTATTAAAATTGTGTCTTGTTCTGGTCCCCCGACCACTTCCCCTCTTTCTAGTTAGTATAGTAAGCTTATAAGTAGCAAGTATAAAGGGGCAATAGCAACAAAGGGAAACCTGGAAGTTATGTACAAACTGTCCCAAGGATCAAAGGAGCATAATTTATAAATTGTATCATATATTAACCAAAATTCACATCCTGATACTATGTGATGAATAAGCAGAAACCATCCAGGGACTGTTGTCAGGGCCTTCTGGTCCTATGATATGTAAATTCAAAACAAATTCCAGACCTCCACAATTCCAGACAAGCAGAATATAAAAAAGGTACTGATAATTTTGAGATGTAACTTTGAACTTTTACCAATAACTTTGAGATGATTTGGATATGTTAATGAACTAACTCTATGGTGGTACAAAAAAGAGTTGGTCTGTTTACCCAAAACATATGTAAAAATGAGACCTCAAACTATTGTCACACTCTTCCATCTCTATTGGGTCCATGCTATCTAGTGTTCCAAAATCTAATTCTTATGTGAGTGAAATTCTCTGCCTTTCCTCATCCCCATCCTCTTTCCCATGCTACCTGCCTCTCTCTACTATCCTATTCCTCTGTCCCATTATTTACCTCTGTATTCCTTTCACCACTTCTCTCTGTACCTGTTGTGTTTAATAAAGTGTAATTGCCACCCCATTCCCTGCTGCCTATCATGGTCTTTCCTGGTAAGTACCCAAAGAACCAAGCATACCTGCCTCAATTTCATAATTTCACAATGTATGTATACACACACACACACACACACACACACACAGAGTTAGGAAGTCAATGTTGGAAGGAGTACAGAAATACAAGCACACTCATGCATTGTTTGTGGAGCTATAAATTTGTCCAACTATTCTGGAAATCAATCTGGGATTGTATAATTAGATGAACTAAAATACTTACAGCAGAGATGCCATTACTAGACATATTCCTTAAGGAAGTCCAAATTATCCTCTTGCTTCAAGTCTCTCCCCTCTCCCATCCATTTTCCACACATACACTGCTAAAACAACTTTCCTAAAGTATAGGTCAGACCATGTCACACCCTCCCACCAACTTTCAGTAGCTTCCCTTGCTTATAGAATAAAATATAAATATCTTCCCTGGGTAGTTAAGATCCCCCACAATTTGACTCTCATTTACCTTTCCAGCTTCAAATCCATGCTTGAATCCAATTATATTACTAATTCTTTCAGCCAAATCTGATTAATAGCCATTCCCTGAATCCAACCTTCCATCTATTAGTTCTGTAATTTGGACACTTGCTCCTCATGCCTAGAATGTCCTCCTTCCTCTTTTCTGTCTCTGAGAGTCTTTACTTCCCTCTAGGCTCAATTCAGATGTTCCTTCCTTCATGAAGCCTTCCTTCAACCCCCTCTCCTCCCACCAGTTCTTAGAGTTGTCTCTTACCTCAATTTTCTTTGTACCATTTCTATTTATGTACATTTTCAATCATTCTGTGGAATATGAATTGTTGCCATTGCTATTTTTACTTGTTATATCACTATGTTGCTGTTTCCACAGAGCCTAGCCCAGGCCTTGCAACTGGGAGGTTCTTAAGTAAATGTTTGCTGAATTGAATTGAATAATGATTCTACTAATTTCCCATTGGGTCTAAGACAAAACACAAACTGCCCTTTACAACCTGGTTCCAACCTTCCTTTCCAGCTTTTTTTTTTTTAATAAATTTTTCCCTGCACTGTGAGAGGCAACCTGACTTCTTGGTTCTTCAGACACGGCATTCCATACTTTGTCTCTGTGCCTTTATGTTGTCCTGAATACCTGGAATGCTCTTCATCCTTCCTTCTATCTCTAAGAAGCTGTGTGATTCTGGACAAGTCACTTAACCTCTCTGTGTCTCACTTTTCTCAACTGTAAAATGAGGATAATAACACCATCTATTTCATAGAGTTGTGAGGAACAAATGTGTTAAAATATATAAAGTGCTCTGCAAACTTTTTAAGCACTATATAACTGCCATTATTACATGCAAAATGTGTTTTGTTCTCCCATAATTTGTAAATTCCTTTGGGCAGGAATAGCATCCTTTATGTCTTTGTAATCTCAAAGCACACAGTACCTAGATCTTAGTAGACACCATACATATTGATGGATTGCTTAATAATAATAACTCCCATTTATGTAATAGTAATGGCAGCTCAAATTTATATAGT